GTATGTGGGCATTTTCAGCGTCTAGCCTTCAACTCCGAGGTCAAAGGCATGCCAAAAACAGCCAATAGCCTGGCCTATCGCCTGATATTGGCAGGTCTGTCAATGCGAGCTCTTACGTTGAAAATAACCGACCGTCAAGATATCGTGCTATTCTGGTAAAGGAGTACATCAAATAGTAACTGAGATACATGTTTCAAATCTTCAACGTTTGTAGCAGAACTCATGTCCGTTCGTGGCCACGGAGGCCGCTGGGAACATCGAGCGTTGTCAGTTGTGAGATCACAACAATTGCTTGATGTCTTCGTCTAATTTATACCTCCTGGCATGTTCCCGGTCGGCTATTTTCAGCATAAGAACTCATAATGCCGGAAGCCAAGGGCTTAATGCCTATCTCGCTTATTGAGCGTTGCATGTCAACACAGGGAAAAATGGCTTCCATCGCTAAACCTGTCACATTGTCCACATGCATGAGGTCTTAAAGGTGCGACTTTTGCTAATGGCCTTGCGGCGACTGTACTTACCCGAGTAGATGTTAATGAAGAACCGGATCGGATGTACCTGAAACGTGCTGCCATATAGGCAGGTGCCGGTGTCGCCGACGTTTTGCTCCATCGAAACCATTCTCCTTGCTCCAGTTTTTAACAACGCGCGAGTGACTGACGGTATTAGGACAACTGTAATGCTACTCGTCATAAACGCGAGTTTTAGCGGTAAAACGGGCGTTTGTCGAGAATGCAGCACAAGAGTATGTCAGAAAATCAACATGGTTTGCCGTGATGTATGGAGCAATGGTCAGCTTCTTCAACGGAGCAGAATTATACCCGGAAATCACGGCTGAAACATTGCAGATGAAACTCTACCATGTGGATCTCTCAGCGGTCAGTTTTTGTACAGGTGCGGAAGCATTCTTGATCCCGATATCTTACAAACCCAGTGTGTTCAGGTGCTTTGCGAATTCCAGGTCTTTTTGTCCCTCAGACATTACCTTGCCACGCGCATGCTAGCATTCCCTTGGGCCTGCTAGCTTTATTTCCCTGCTTTCTAGTTTTGCTAAATTTTCGCTCTCAATGTCGTGCGCATCGAGGTCTGAATACCGTGAATGACATTTTAGATGGGGGACAAAACAAATGTCGAGCAGCACCATTGCCACTGTCAGTGAGTGACTATATATATATATATATATATATATATATATATATATATATACATATATATATCATCCTGTGCTAGAGCACCTTCAAAATGTTTGTGCTCCTCTGCTTCGTTCCCTCGGGTGCGGCCCTGGTTAAGTTGCATGTGATTGCTGTGTTAACCATGCTATACTTTGTCTCGTTAGTGGCCGCGTATCTACAAACCATTTCCTTTTTTGGTATGCGGCGAACGCAATAGACAAAATGTAACATTCACGTTACTTTTTGTAGTACATCAAAGGGCAAAGACGCCGACTTTGTACATCCGGGAATGTTGCTCAGTCTACCGCCGTGGTGTCCTTGGTAATTGACGCATGGTAAACACCGCCATCAGATACGTCTTTTTTCATTTTGCTGCGTACTACCCCGACTAGTTGACGAAGTACTGTTTTCGAATGTTGATTCCATAGCTCTACCCACTGGGCCTCAGCTTGCTTTCAATAGCCTGTCGCTGGCACGAACTGCACGCGGAAATAGTACATTACCGGATCTAATAGTACATTACCGGATCCTTGATGTTCAGGCTCACGTGGCGGGTACCCTGCCGATCGCGACTGGCATTGTTCACGTGTTTACAACATTCCGTGCAGGGACCGCAGTAGTGGGGGAAGGGGCCGAGGAATAAGTGTAGCCGCCGCATCTGTGGATATTTATATTAACGCTATAGCGCTGCATGAACTAAATCGAAGTAAGAAATTGTGCTTGCACTTCCCCGTTCACATCTTCTCACAGGTTCTTCCGTGACAGGCTCCGTCCAATGTTTGGAAGAATCTCCGCGGCAAAAGTTCGCAAACGTTGAAGTGAACCCCATCCTGGCTTGAAGAGTGCTCATTCAAAGCCTCAAAGGCCCATTCTGACCTGTAGGACTATAACCGACTGTGGAAGGTCCATTCTGGCAGGTGCGGGAGCCCACTTAGAGCGCCTATTCTGGCCTAAAGAGGAGCTATTCGTGGCTGAGGAGGACCCAGTCGGGCCTGTAGAGAGCCCAATCTGATCTGTAGATGGCTCTTTCTTGCCCGTAGATGGCCAATTTTGTCATTTTATGGTTAGCCCGCACCTCCAGCTTCACTGTGGTTTCCGCGCCGCTGGAAATGGCGAGCATCGTACCACATCGCTGCAAATGGCAAGTATCGTACCGCGCTGCTGGAAATAGCGAGTATCGTACCGCATCGCTGGAGACGACGCGTGGCGTGCCGCGCCGCTGGAAATGGCGGGTATCGTACCGCGCCGCTGGAAATGGCGCGTAGCGTACCGCGTCGTCATTCGCCCTTACTTTCGAAACACACTACGTGGGAGAGATGGTTATTCCCATTTATTGTGGTCTTGGCCACCGTTTGTGACAGATGGCCCCGAGTTTCTTAGCCGTGATAGTCTGCTTGTAATCCGGCTTAGGCATCATCGTTTCATGTTTTGGAATAAGTAAGGTCATTGGAAAACCTTGTAAAGTGTGCATCAATTAGTTGCCATTATATTGTTGCGTAAAGGGATAGATTTATCAAAAAGAAATGATGATTTCAAGTGTGAGGCACTCGACAACATTGGTCAGTGCATACCCGCCATGCCCTTCTCAGCATGCCCGCCAT